CTGTGCCCTCTGGCAGTCCGGGACCCCTCGGGGGATGTCCACCTGCCAGCGTGGGCCCAATCCCCTGACGTCCTCTGGCAACCCGGGATTCGTGGCTCCTTCCCGCCCGCCCGCTCACTCCTCACCGCTGGGCTCACTGCTCCTAGCGCTGCCTCAGAGGTGGGAGAGGCTCCCGCCATCACCACCACTGCGCTCGCCAGCCATGAGCCCGGCTTCTGGCCGAGCGACACTCCCCCTGTGGGAGCGCCCTGACCACCAGGGGGCAGCTCCTGCGTTAGCGTCTGCCCCTGCTGGTCAGTGCGCATCATAGCAACCGGTCGTTCCGGTCTTTCTGCCGGGAAGGTCGCTCAGGCTTTTATTCTGTAGATTGTTGTGGTTGTTAACCCTCACTCGAGGACGTTTTCCATTCATTTTTGGAAAGAGCTGAAGGGACCAGGAGAGACAGAGAGAGACATCCAGGTGAGAGACACCCATCGATTGGTTGCCCCACACAACCTGGCCCCGGGCCGGGAATTGAGCCTGCAACCAAGCTATGTGCCCCGGACTGGAATCGAACCCAGGACCCTTCCGTGTTTGAGCCAACCCTCTATCCACTCAGCCAAACCCGGGGCCCAGCTGCGTTTCTCGGTCCACGTGGCACACGCCTGCAGCCGGAGTCTGAAACAGTAGACGGCTCGCTCCGGGCCTCGGCCTGACCACGCCCCTCCTGATCCGGCCTAATCCTGCCTGGGCGCTGTCTGCGGCCCTCAGACATCAGAGCGCAGCTGCCCCGCACACCGCCTTCGTCCCCGCCCCGCGGACCTCCGCGGACCTCCACGTCCCTCCGCGCAGAGGCAGGCGGCAGCAGGGAAGCTGGTTTTCACTCCAAACCAAACCTGCACGGAGGGGGGAGCGTGGGGGGGGGGGTCATTCCTGGGGATCCTGTCTCCTGCCTTTCAGCTGCTCCCCTCGGGTCTGGGGCTGACGCAGGTCCATGGGGCTCGTGTGCAAAGCCTCTGCTTCCCCATTTTTCTCAGCTGGACTCAGAGAGGCTGCCCGCCAGCCCCGCTGAGACGGGAGACTTGGCCTGGAGCATATTGCTAGTTATAATAATAATAATAATAATTACACACACACACACACACACACACAATTGATTTCAGAAATAAAGAGATAGATAGATACATCAATGAGAGAGAATCACTGATCCCTTGCCTCCTGCACGCCTCCCGCTGGGGCCAGGCCAGGTGCAGCTGGGGTGGGAGCCGGTCTGCCGGCTCAGGGGGTCCTGGGGCTCCTGCCAGGGGCAGCACAGCCGGGCATCCCGGACCCTGGGTGCTGCCCTGTGTGGCTCCCTCTGCAGCCATTTCCCTCGCCCCTCGCCCCTCACAGGCTGCTGGCTTCTTCACAAATCTCTGAGTTCTGGCCCCTCCCCCTGGGCTCCCAGGAGCCTTTGCCTGGCCCCGCACCCCAGGCCCCGCAGGGGGGCGCCCTCCTCAGGAGGGGCAGTGGGAGTCGACCGCAGGGTGGGGAGGTGGACAGCAGAGGTTCAGATGGCTCGGAGCTGGGCAGGCATAGGGAGGCAGTGACCTAGCCGAAGACACGCTGTTCTCTGAACATTCCGCACATTTTCTTCTCATCTTAAAAAAAAAAGGAAAAAAATTGGGTTTCAATGTTCATTATTTTAATTGCATTTCTTCGCCCAGGGACGCTTAGCATTTGTTCCTTGTTAACCAGTTCTCTCTCTCTGAAGGGCTAGCTCATGTTCTTAGGCCATTTTTCTTCTTCTTCTTTTTTTAATGTTTTAATTGCTTTCAGAGAGGAAGGGAGAGGGAGAGAGAAACATCAATGATGAGAGAGAATCATTGATGGGTTGCCTCCCGCACGCCCCCTACTGGGGATCAAGCTCGCACCCTGTGCATGTGCCCTTGGCCAGAATTGAACCGGGAACCCTTCAGTCCGCAGGCCAAGGCTCGTCCCATTGAGCCACACCAGCTGGGGCTAACGATGCCTCTTTCGGTGCCGTGGGTCTGCCACGGCTGTCAGTGGCTGTGTTTAGGGAAATGCTATGTTCTCCTGAAGGAAGGCGTCAGGAACTGGGTCTCCCCTGCTTTTGTCACCGGCGGTGTGGCCTGTGTGATGAAACCTTCCCGTTACCTGGCACAGAGGACAAGGCCCTCGTGGGGTCCCAGCATCTGGAGGCCTGTCTCTCCGTGGGAGCCCCTTTCTCGTCCGTGTGGTTCAGGGTTCGGGTTCTGGAGGAGTCCACACACACATGAGAGAGACTAGAAAAGTATTAATGTGGGAACATTGGGGGCCAGGCGGGAGCCCACCTCTAGGGGGAGGACTACCTCTGCTCTGGCCTTGCCATCCCTTGTATTAAGGTTATGGGATACACCCCTAGCCTTTAGGCAGGCAGTTCCAATAATAGCCAATCAGCAAGGATCTACATATGACTGACAGATGGAGGCTGCTTTAACTACCAATGTCTCAGCTAAACAGTGAGCGATTAGCTCCGACCTTTCAGAGCCATTAAGGTTGACCAGCGTTCCATTCCCTTTCACATTTCTCTGTTAGTGACAGTGATCGGATTCCGGCGTCATCACCGCCACTCCTGGCCGCGCTGTGGGGAGCCACCTCCCCTCCTCGCGTCCCGCAGTTCCCGGCTCTGAGCGCAGCCAGGCCGCGTGTGGCCGTGGAGGAGCAGAGCAGGCACGGGAGCACCCCCCTCTGCATGTGTGCACCCCCCTCTGCGTGTGTGCACCTCCCTCTGTGTGTGTGCGCCCCCCTGTGTGTGTGCACCCTCCTCTGTGTGTGTGCACCCTCCTCCGTGTGTGTGCACCCTCCTCCGTGTGTGTGCACCCCCTCCGTGTGTGTGCACCCCCTCCGTGTGTGTGCACCCCCCTCTGTGTGTGTGCACCCCCCTCTGTGTGTGTGCACCCCCCTCTGTGTGTGTGCACCGTCTTCTGTGTGTGTGTACCCTCCTCTGTGTGTGTGCACCCTCCTCCGTGTGTGTGCACCCTCCTCCGTGTGTGTGCACCCCCCGCTGTGTGTGTGCACCCCCCTCCGTGTGTGTGCACCCCCCTCTGTGTGTGTGTACCCTCCTCTGCGTGTGTGCACCCCCCTCTGTGTGTGTGCACCCCCTCTGTGTGTGTGCACCCTCCTCTGTGTGTGTGCACTCCCTCTGTGTGTGTGCACCCCCTCTGTGTGTGTGCACCCCCCTCTGTGTGTGTGCACCCTCCTCTGTGTGTGTGCACCCCCCTCTGTGTGTGCACCCCCCTCTGTGTGTGTGCACCCTCCTCTGTGTGTGTGCACCCTCCTCTGTGTGTGTGCACCCCCCTCTGTGTGTGCACCCTCCTCTCTGTGTGTGCACCCTCCTCTGTGTGTGTGCACCCTCCTCTGTGTGTGTGCTGCCAGCTGTGGGCATCCTGCCGTCTCGGTTCCAGAGGGAGAAGGACTGGCAGCCCTTCCATCCCCCCTCACACCTGAGCCCCGGCCTCCCAGTGTGGACCTGCAGGCCCCCCTCGTCACAGTTACTCCTGAGTCACGTCTCCCCCGCCCCCTGCAAGTTCCTGAAGCGGCCCAGGCCCGGGCCCGCAGGAGGCAGCACCTCCAGGTGAGTGTCCAACCCCTCCTCCTCCCGCAGCCAGAAGCCATGGCAGGAGCCCCCTCCCTCCCCGCCGCCCAGACGGCAGCCTCAGACGGCCTCCCGGGGCCTGAGGCTCAGGAACGGGCCCCAGCAGACAGGACGTGAGCAAGCCCCTTCCTGGGGGCCGGCCAGCGCAGTCGCTCGCTCCATGTGGAGAAGACATTTGCGAAGGATCCTGCCCGGCAGCCGGCGGTGAGCAGAACCCCCCCCCCCCCGCCCCTCCCCCGGAATCCCCCGGAGTTTCCTAAAGCCCATCGGCCGGGACAGACAGACGAGGGCTGGCCTGCTTCCCGAGCTTTCATCCCGGGGCGGGCGGCTGGCTCGGCTCAGGGACAGCCTGCTCCAAGCGGATCCTACTGAGCTAGACGTCCGGGGGCACTGCCAAGGCGGTGGGAGCGGGGAGAGCCGGACCTGCGCGGGGCAGGCGGCCCTGAGTCACTTCGCAGCTCATTTCCTCTGCCCCTAGCTGCTGCTCCTAGCTGCAGGCCGCGGGCTCGGCTAACCCCCTAAGTCACATTCCAATCGCATCTCACCCGGACACGCCGCCCCACAGCCACCCCCTCCGCCTGGGGCACCTGAGCCAGCCGGGGATCGTCCGGGCGGGAACATGGGGGTGTCTGCGAGGAGGCTCAGCGCCCGCCCGGCGAGCATCTGCTGACTCATGGAGCTCGGGTCCAGGAAGCGCCTTGGCAGAGATGCCGTGGAACCAGCCTGGCGTCCGTTTTTCCAGGATCCCGTTAGCGGCTGGCAGAGGGCCGGCAGCCAGGCAGCGGTGCCCGGCGTGCGGGCACGGAGGGGCCACGGCAGGAGCGAGTGCCTTTCGTCCCACGGGCTCCAGCGTGGCGGTCTGAGCTCGTGTGTGTCAGCGGCAACACACCTCCCACTGCCGCCCAGCACCACGGAGCCGGCCCCGCGCCAGGCCCACACCCACACCCACGCCCACGCCCACCCAGGGGTGGGAGGTCGGCTCCAGGCCAGGATTGGGTGGCTGAAGGTACAACAGTAAAGTCCACTTAGAAGTTCAGAATTCCCACGGTCTGGTTTTACGAAGAGAACCCGGCAAAGGGGACCGGTGCCGGAGAGGCAGGGGATGGCTGTGATGAAGGTGCAGGGCATCCATTCTGACTTCAGGAACCGACGGGGACTTCACTGCCCAGCGCTGGAGAGCGAGCAGCCGCGGCCACGGCCGGTGTAGCAGAGCCGCGCACCCTCCTCCGCAGCCTCGTCCCAGGAAAGACCGGCTCAGAACCACCTTGTTCGGCGCCGGGGGGATCGCACCCGCACGCGCTGGCGAGGGCGGGTGGAGGGGGGCCTGGCGGCGTTCCTCGCTGAGCTGCTCCACTCAGAACGCGAAAGACTCGCAGAGAAATGCTTGAATTTTTGTAATAACTGCCTTTATTTTATTTCCGTCTTTGATAAAAACTAGTTGGTTCTTAACTCCCCAAATGGTAAACGACCAACGTAAACGCTGGGAGAACGTGTGGCAGCCTGGGCGCCCGCCGCGTCCGCCAGCGGCTGTCCGGGGCGGGGGTGGGCGGTGGGGCGGCTGCGGAGGACGGGGCTTGGGCAGCAGCCATGGAGCTGGCTCTGGCTGGCGAGGTGCGGGGCGGGTGGGGGAGCCGCTCGCCCCAGCTCCCTGGCGGTGCCCGGGAGCTTACCCAGAGCCTGCCTCCAGCACCAGGCGCTGCGTCCAGAGGCCCCTAAGCTCCACGCGGTGCCCGAGCGCGGCCGGCACAGCGGGCACAGTCAGGAGCTGGTGTGTAAAAAGCATTGGGTTTGGAAATTCGATGTAAAAAATATAACCCCTGGGACCTGAGCCCCTGGGCGTGCTGGGGGTGGAGAATGGAGGTGGGAAGGGGGCTCAGAGCCAAAGAGAAAACTCGGGAATACGAGGAGAAGGGGTCTGCGGGTGAGGGGTTGGTCGCCCTGGTCTGCGGAGCCCCTTCCTCAGGCAGCATTGGTCCGGCCTGCGCGGGGCCAGCACTTTGGGGAGCAAGGTTTTCCTTTATGAAAAAAAAATCATCTGAAGTAAAAACTGTGGTGAAGGCGGGCTGTTTAATGGTGTGTCCAGCGTCGGGAGCCTCCGGGCCCAGCAGGGGCTGCCGGCAGCCTGCGGTCAGACGGCGTTCCGCTGCAGGAGCTGGTCCAGTAATTGCTGGGGAAGCAGGAGACAGACACGTCAGGTGCAGAGCACGCCTGGGCCCACACATCACACCTGCAGGCGGGCAGAGCACGCCTGGGCCCACACATCACACCTGCGGGCGGGCAGAGCACGCCGGGGCCCACACATCACACCTGCTTGTGGCCAAAGACGCCTGGGCCCACTCACAGTCACACCTGCGGGCGGCCGGGCTGTTACCTTTTTGAAGACTTCGGCGCGGAGCCTGTTGCTCTGTAAGATCACCCTTTTCTTTTGTTCTTCTTTTTTCTTTCTGACTTCCGGCAGGTTGTTGTAGATTCTGAAACAGACGCAGGAAGCACTGTGAATGGCAGCTAGACAGCGTGTGTCTGTCAGCAGCGCCCCAGTCCAGAGGGGAATCGGCCGAGGGCGCCCTGACTGTCTCCGGAGAGCTGCGAGGCTCAGCACACAGAGCCGGAGGCGGGGGGGGGGGGGGGGGGGGGGAGACATGGACGGACGGGGTGGGTGGGGTTAGGCGGAGTGCTGCTCCTTCTTTAGTGGCCGCTCTCCTTGTCCCTCCACTCCCTTTTCCTTGTAAAACCGGGGGTTCCCAGTGTAATAAAGCACGGCGCTGGGGTGTATGCTCTGTCCACAGATGCTGGCCTGACCACGATTATTTTCGCTGGAAAGCTCCCTGGTGGCAGTGCTGGGTTTGGGGACCGAGAGGGAAGGACTTGACGGGATTCCCCCCACATTGAAAGGGAGTACTTGTGCCAGGAGGTCTACGCCTCAGCTTCGCACGTCTAACCAGCCAGCCTTGAAACTCGCTGGCCCTAAAGGCCCCGCCAGGACCCGCGGCGGGCAGGCCGTTAACGGACGGTCCCCTTCGCCTCCGCTGGAGCCTTTATTTACAAAGAGGTTCCCTCCCCCAGTCCACTGGGCTCGTGTCACGGAGACCATGTGATCGGGCCGAGGCCGGGCGCTGTGCTGGGGAGCCCGCGATCGCTGAGAGACCAGCCACCGGTGGGTGGGAATCCAGGAACCCCCACTTTCCTAGGGATCTCTCACGAAAGCACGAAGACCCCCAGGCACAGCCCCGCGGCCGCACTTCCCTGGACCAGCTTTCCACATCACGGCCACGACCTCAGCGCTCACACGGGGACTGGCAGCCAGCCCCTCGGACAGCGCCGGGCCCACGAAGCTGCCCTCCCCCCCCCCCCCGCTTCCTTCTCCTCCCCCCCCCCCACGCCATCAGGTACCTCTTGGAGCGCATGTGCATCTCCTTCTCCGAAATGCACCGTTCTTTGGGCTTGAACAGGTTATCTGGAGAAGAGGAGAGGGGCTCAGGTCAGGGGCTCGGGCACACGTTTCCGGAGAAACAGCACGAGGCTCCACACTCGCTGTTCCTGCTCTTCCCCAGCACTGCGGGCACAGCCCGTGCTCACACCACAGAGCTCCCGCCGGCTCCCCACTGGTCCTGGCTGTAGCGAACTCCGGGCACGAGGCCCAGGGTTGGCATCGAACACGCTTTATGGACAGTGACCTCCCCTTTCTACTGATGTCAGAGAGGAAGGGAGAGGGGGAGAGAGAGAGGCACCAATGACAAGAGAGAATCATGGCCTGGCTGTCTCCTGCACGCCCCATGCTGGGGATCAAGCTCGAAACCCAACAGGCAAAGGCACATGCATCTGTCCTGACTGGGATTCGAACCCTTGGCCTCCTGGTTTTAGGGGGCGATGGTCAATCTCGGAGCCCTGTGGCCGGGCTGTGCTTCATTTTTGGAAGCTGTCGTGGTCTGCCGAGGGCAGTGCCCGGCGTCACGCGGCTCAGGGCCCCGGGGAACGGCCATCCCCCCATGAAGCAGCTGCAGGGACACCGTGTGCCAGAGGGAGCTCGGCGACGGCTCTGGTGTGCCGGGGCAGCCGCAGTGCCGGCGCCGGTGCTGACAGGAGCCCCCGGGCAGGCGTGAGGAGCGGCACCGGGACACGCCAACCACGTCTATGAAACATGTTTGGAGAGAAATCGTCCCAATGTCATGCCTGGGGCCGCTCTGCTCTGTCTCTCAGACGCACGAGGGGTGCCCCAGCCCGTCCCCCAGCTACCTCAGGGCTCCTGGTCATTCCAGACTTGGTTTACACAGTGAAACCAACACCATCACCCGCCCAGAGGTCCCAGGCTCTCCGGCAGCACTGCCGGCACGGATGGAAGAAGGGCTGATGAGAGCAAACGGCAGAGAGAAGGCCGGTCTCTCTAGTGAAGGGCGGGAGGCCAAGGGAAATCACCTACAAGCAGAGATTCCCAGAACAACGTCTCCCAAGCGAGCTCTTAACAATGAGATGAAAACATCCCCAGGTTAACATAATTAGGAAGAATGGAGTTAAACAGACGTAAGCAGGCCTCACTGTTGCAGGACTTGCCAGTGCCTTTAACATGCACTAGGGTCCAGCGGTCGGCAAACTCATTCGCCCACAAAGCCAAATATCAACAGCACAATGATTGAAATTTCTTCTGAGAGCCACATTTTTTAAACTTAGACTTCTTCTAATGCCACTTCTTCAAAATAGACTCTCCCAGGCCGTGGTATTTTGTGGAAGAGCCACACTCCAGGGGCCAAAAGATGCCTGTGGCTCCCGAGCCGCAGTTTGCCCACCACGGCACTGGGCATTATAAACGTCCGGAAGGATACGGCTGCGAGAATCCCAGGGGATGCTCCTCCTCTGAAGTGCGTTTTGATTGTCCCAGGCTTGAGGACATTGAGGAGGAAAGGGACAACTGCAGAATAATAGCGCCAATGAGTTCTCAAAGTCACGTGTGACTATAAAATAGGGTTTAGTCTCTCTGTGCCGGAAGAAAACCCTGTGTGCTTTGTCCACACTTTCTAAAAAATATGTATGTCTGTCTGTCCCACTTAAAGGGACCTTAACGCTAACAGTGGCTCCCATCACCATGGAGTAGCCACGTCTCACCTGCATCTGAACAACCCCGAGGGTAGGAGGCTTTTTGCCCCAACTCCAGGGTGCCCCTGTGTTCTGGAAAGAGCCACGGAACACGGCGATTTGTGGAGGCCGGATACACATTCGCTCTCGCTGCAGGTGGGTTTACTGACGCGCATCAGAGAGATCACCCGGGAAGTCAGACCGAGGCCGTGGGGAGGAGGAATCCTGAGGAAGTCACCTCGCACCGTTCTGCTCCTCTGTGCTCCCCTGTGTGACCTTCACCAGAGACACCTGTCCGGCAGGTCTCCTGGGAGTCCACGGCAGGAATCGGTCTGTGTCCCCCCAGTTTTGAGTTTTTGTTCCTGAAAACACACAGCTCAGGCCATCCCCGGGGCCCGGAGGCCGCTCACAGCGCCGTGCTGAGCGTGCAAACATCTTTGACTCCGGGAAACGGCCTCCCGCTGGATGAGGCTCCTGCTTCCTCGTTTAGCCAGAGGGCTGATGAAGTAACAATTTGCTGTTATCTGATAAGCACATTAAAAAATTCCTTGGTGAGTAATACTGGGAACACTGCCCCCAAATATTTATTCAGATGTTTTATGGAAAAGCATTCATGAGCTCAGACCGGGCAGGGGTGGGGGTGAGGGGGCGGCCGTGCTCCCGGCCGCGCAATGGGCAGCTCCTGGCTGTTACTGTGGCGCCGGGCTGGCCACCCCAGACCTGCTGGGTGGCTTCTCCAGCGAGACGCTCCGGGAGCGCAGATCTGTCCTAGGACCCGCCGCAGCCATTCGTGTCCCCGAGGGCGGCTCTGCGGGGGCAGGGGTTTTGCAGCACCTTCCGGAGAATTCCGTCCCTCCACTGGGCCGTGGCTCGAAAGGCTCCTGACCTGGCTCACCCGGACATGCGGCTAATGTCATTCAGGTGAATGGGTCAGCTTTGCCGGGTGCCGCAGGATTTCCCAGAGGGACTCGGTGCGGTGCGCGCCCACAGGCACTTCCCACGGCGTCACCGTGGGGGCCACGCCGAGGTGGCCGGGTTCCCAGCTCAGAAAGGGCCGTCTGCGCTCATTGGTTTTGGGGGGTCCGGCCACTGCTGCTTGGACGTCAGTAAGGATGTGGGCTGCAGGCAGGACCTGGTCACGCCGTCCCGTCTCTCTATGATGTCTACCGTGGGTACACGCCCCCTCATCTCTGCACGAGAACCCATCTACCCTCACACACGTGTGCAGGCACACACATGTCACTGCCGTAAGCCTTGAAGACCGCTCAGCATTCATCAGCCAACAGGAGGCTGCACCGGTCCCGGCCCCGTCGCCTCTGACCCTGCACATCGGGTGCCGCTGTCCCCCAGCCCGTCCGCAGCGCCTCCCCAGTCTGTTCGGGGTCAAGGCTGCTGACCGAGAGCCACTCGGACTCGTTGTAACACGTCTGACACTGAAGCCGCCGCTCCCGTGAGCGTGTGACGGATGAACCCATTCCACCTGCGGGGGAACGTCTGCCTCTGCCCAGCATCCCGCCCGCAGGCAGGCCGCAGGCAGACGCGGCTGCAGATCTGTTTATCGGGCCGAGCACCACCGGCGAGCAAACCGACAGGAGAGCGCGGACAGAGGGGCAGGCAGGGGCCGGACTCCACGCCCGAGCCGGCCGAGAGGGAGCCGGTGGCTGGGGCGGTCCCAGAACTCGGGGAATGAAAAGGCGCTTCAGGAACTTCAAACTAGTGACAGGCGTGACCCCAGCATCACCACGGTCTGAGGATCTGGGAGGATCTGGGAGGATCTGGGAGGATCTCCCCGTGAAGGAGTGTGAGCCTGGGTCTGTTTCAGGCAAAATACCACAGGATGGCGCAGCGCCCGGGACTGTCTCCCCCAAAACCGTGGTTCCAGCCCCGGGCGCGTGACTCCGCTTGAGGGAGAGCCTGTGCGATGCCCTCAGGCTAAGGCGAGGTCACGCTGGGTCAGGGTGGGCCCTGAGCCAAGGACTCATGTCCTTAGAAGAGGAAATTCATACACAACCACAACGACACACACACAGACACACACACAGACACACACAGACACACACACACACACACAGACACACAGACACACACACACAAGGCCCCGTGCTTCCTTCCCGGCGCCATGGGAACTGTGAGCCAAGGAAGCTGCGCATTCAGTGCCCGCGGAGAATCTCCAAACTGGGCCGGCTCCCGGGCCGGCTCGGTGACGCCCGGGCCCTCGGTGAGAACACGGTCCCATGGACATGGGGGCCGCATGGGATCAGCACCGGGGGTGCAGGTCCAAGCCCGAGGACCCCCCAGGCCCCCGCCCCCACACGGAGCTCACCGCTAAGCGGGTGGGGGACGGTGAACTGCCTCCGGCTGGTGCGGACGGGCAGGGGGCCCGGCCTGGGCCCCGGGCTCTCCTGGCGCTGGGCCCGCCTCTGCTGCGCCATCAGCTCCAGCCTCCGCAGCCGCTCCTGCGAGCGCGAGATGAACTGCGGCCGCCGGGCCTCCAGCGCCTCCTGCGGGGGAGAGTTCATTTTTAAATGTGTTTTTACTGGTTTCAGAGAGGAGGGGAGAGGGAGGGAGGGAGGGACATCAGTGACGAGAGAATCATGGATCGGCTGCCTCCTTGCATGCCTCCACTTGGGATGGGGTCCACGACCAGGAACCAAGCCGTGACCTCATGGTTCCTAGGCTGCCCTCAACCACTGGGCCACGCCGGGCAAAGGGATTTATCCTTAAGAGGAGGGACACGGGGGACACAGCCATCTGACTGGCCAAGGACCGGAGCAAGAGAACAGTGCAGGGACCAAAGTGTCAGTGCGTGATCTGGTCCCACTGCAGCCCCCTGGCTCCCGGGAAGGCGGCCCGGCCCCCGGAGGGCACCGACCGGCCCTCCGGCCCCCGAGACCCACACGGTGGACCAGAGCCAGCATCACGGTGGTGAGAGCAAAGGTAACCGTCTACCACAGCGGTCGGCAAACTGCGGCTCTCCAGCCACATGCGGCTCTTTGGCCCCTCGAGCTTTTAGCAAAGGCCAGCTTGGAGGACCCTGATGAAGTTCATAACAATGTACCTACCTACATAGTTTAAGTTTAAAAAGTTTGGCTCTCCAAAGAAATCTCAGTCGTTGCACTGTTGCTATTTAGCTCTGGTGACTAATGCGTTTGCCGACCTCTGGCCTGCCATTCTATCGTTCCTTCCAGCACCACCCTGTCCACTCGTTCGCTGCCCACAGGCCCAGACCCGGTGCCCTGATCCCAGCTTCCAGGGACGTGACGGGAGGCGTGGGAGTGTCCTGAGCCCCCGGCTCCTGGGTCAGGGTCCGGGTGGGGGTGGGGGTGGGGGGACTGGGAGCCTGAGGAAGCTCAGACCCAGGTCATCCGTCGCTGTCACACACGGGCCTTTTCAGGAGAAGCAGTGACATGCCTGACAGATGCCATGGTCTCTGTGACTCACACTGTGACACGGGGGCCCAGAGGCACACAGCCTCCAGGAAGGCGAGACAGGGCTCCAGCCTCGGAGGCCGAAGGCAGGTCATGCGACCCCAGGAGCAGTCTCCCCGCGGCGGGAGCCGGGCATGGCATGCCCAGGGCCTCACCTGCAGGGTCAAGGTGTTGCTGGCCGGTGCTTGCCGGCACTCGGAGCAGTCCTCCCGCTGGTCGGGGGTCTCTGGCTCCTCCGAGGGCGCGGGCCGGGGTGGCGGCGGGGGCGCGGGCCCCGGGGCGGCAGCGGTGGCCTCCCGCGTCTCGCACTCCTTTATCTGCACCACCAGGTCGCAGCAGGTGTAGTCTCCTGGAGGGAAGGGGAGCCCAGTGAGCGGCGCGCTGCTCTCTCCTGGCCCCTGGCCACAGGGACCGCGGAGAGCATCTTGGAAAGGGAAAGGCCAACAGGTCAGGAACGGGCCTGGGTAAGCCACCGACATCATCAGGACCCTGGCCGAGCTGGTCCAGAGAGGAATGCCCGTGGGCGGTCAGCCCCCACGACCCGCTAACCATGCTGCCGCGGACACCTGCCCTCGGCTGCCGACGGTCCAACAGCCCTGCCCGGCCGGAGAGACCCCTTCCTGCTCCGAGCTCAGGCGCCTTGGTTCCTGTGCGTCCATCACCGTGCGGTGTGTGGGGACAGAGCGTGACTTCATCTTTTTATTTATTTACTTATTTATTTTTTATTTTTTTTATATTTTACTGATTTTTTACAGAGAGGAAGAGAGAGAGGGATAGTTAGAAATATTGATGAGATAGAAACATCGACCAGCTGCCTCTTGCACACCCCCTACTGGGGATGTGCCCGCAACCAAGGTACATGCCCTTGACCGGAATCGAACCTGGGACCTTTCAGTCTGCAGGCCAACGCTCTATCCACTGAGCCAAACCGGTTTTGGCTGTGACTTCATCTTATGGCTGCTACGTTCGTGCTGTAAGACGGGCCGGCATTAATGACTCATCCCGCCCCTTGATTGCCATGGCGACCACTGGCTGCATGGGCCTGGGAGGCCGTCTCAGCGCTGGGTTCGGGCTCGTCCCGGGGCCGCGGGGACTCGCTGAATGTGACCGCGGTGACGGTGCAGCTGGAGCCGCACCGGCCGCCGGAAGTGCCTCATCGGCCTCCACTAGAGGCCACTGGCCTGCAGCCAGACCCTGGCTGGGTGCCCGGGCTTGTGTGAAGGAAATGGCAGCATCAGAGAGCCCATTGGAGTGCTTAGTAAATGCGATCCAGACTGGGCCTCCGCGTGAGATGCAGAGTTAGGGGGTTAAAACGTGTGGGAGCTCTGATCCCAGAATCCCCTCCCCCATATGCCCTCAGGACTCTGGCTGGGGGGTCCCCAGCGTGGGGGCTCTGTGGGGCCCGGGCAGGGAGCAGACAGGCCTGACCCAGGACACCTCCACTTCCGGCCTCTCGGGTTGGCCCTGGTCCGCCCTCCACCCCCAGGCAGACCCTCATTTCCTGAGCAAGGTCAGGAAACCCCATTCCGGGGAGGTGTAAGTCCCTCCTAGGGGCCCGGTCAGAGAAGGAAGTGGATTGCCAGCCGTGGGATCCGGGGAAAGGCTCGGCTCTGCCCTTGGCCCTGCGGGGCCGCGGGAGGCCCACCCGCCTGGCGGCCACCCCTCTCCTGGTTTTCCTCACATTTCTTACACACCCCAGTCATGTCAGCCCACCCCGCTGGGCCCCGGGCCCCGTGTGCAGCCTGTGCTAAGGACACCGCTGCCTTTGAAGATCGGGTTTGAACATCAGACTCGGAGACACACACACACACACACACACACACACACACATCCCGGCCTCTGAGGAGAAGCACGCGGCGCCTGGAAACAGCAACGGAGGAGAAATCGCGGGGCCCAGGGCGCCCGCCTCCCGCCTGCCGCCTGCCGACCGCAGTGACCACAGGGTGATCGCTGGCTGGTCTCTGCCATCCTCGCCCTGGGCCTCGAGGCTCCCATTGCTCACGTCCGCCCCGTCCCCCCTCCCCAGGTGACCGTCCCGTCTGATGACATGAACAGGTGCCCAGACAGACGCTCCCCCGCCCGCCCCCGTCCGCGTGGGCTTCCTGAGTTACCTCTCCCGTCGGCGGGAGTCACTCACAGGAAACAAACATGCTGGTTTACGGGCCGCCCCCAGAGCGCCCTCGGCTCCAGGAGGATGGAAAAGCGTTTAACTGCCTCTCACGCGCGCAGGCGGCGTCTGTGGCCGGTGAGAGCGCTCCCCCCCCCCCCACCCCGCCCGCCTGCGGGGAGGTCTCCGTGACTGTGCGCTGCTCACTGACTCCCTGAAAAGCCTCCCTCCGCCCGCCCGGCGGGCTCAGCAGCTGAGCGCCGGCCTCGGGGCCGGGCGGTCACTGCTCCGTCCCCAGCTAAGGGCATGTGCCCGGGTTTCAGGCTCCATCCCCAGTAGGGGGCGTGCAGGAGGCAGCCAATCCATGTTTCTCCCTCTCTCTCTCTCTCTGTCCTCCGCCCCTCTCTGAAATCAATATAAATATACTTAAAACAAACAAGAAAATCATCATTTTTCGAGCCATGGGAAGGGGGCAAAGGTCACTGAAGTGACGGCTGTTCTGGAGACACCGTGTCCCCCTCCACCTGCCCGGCCCGAGAGGCCGGACTGTCCTTCTGAGAGCCGGGGAGGAGGTGCCTTCCTCCCGGCATTAAAAGGTCCGTTCCTGCAGCTGAGAGCTGTCTGACACCCACGGCCACGGGCAGCGGGTCTCAGAGGATGGGGGGCAGGCACTGTTCTTCCCTACGCCCCCCTGCCCTTGGGGACGGACCGTCCCACTGAGGCATGATTCCACAATGGTAGGGAAAGGGCACTTGACTAGCTTCCGTCCTGCTTTTACCCCCGGTGCCGGACACGTCCCTAAGCTTCTCGCAGGAGGTGTCACACCCTCCAGTTCCGTCTGGTTCCTCCCGCCCTTGTTCCTCACCAATCCCTTCCAAAGGGATCTTTTGGGCCAAACGGGAAGCACGTGCCCTTCAGAAAGCGGGGTTCCGGCCCAGGCAGTCTTCGGGGCGCTGGCGGACGTGAGGCCAACGCTGGTGGGAACAGCCCTTGTTCCCATCGCGCCCGGGAGCCTGCGGGAGCGGGGCAGGGGTGGGCACCGGGCACTGAGCGTCTAGAACCGCTCAGGTTCCTGTGGGTTTTAAGGGGTCAGGGTGCCGGGGGAGGAGGACCTGATAGAGGGCTCGGTTTTCACGGAGTTCAAAGGCGTCTCCCAGAAGCGGAGGCGTGACTCACCATCTCCGCGTCTGTCCATCCACCAGACGCGGCGCAAACACGCGGGCGGGTGGGGAGCATCCACGGGATTCCTGCCAGACCTCTGCTCTGCGCTGACGGTCTCCACGGTGGGCACGTGTGCACCCACACTCAGAACCTCTCAGAAAAGCTCGTCACGGGGTCCAGCTCTGGGGCACAGGGAGGGGAACGCAGCGGGAATCAGCAAGACGGGGGTGGGGAGGGGGGTTCCCCAGGAGCCGGCAGAGCCCACCCTGCCCAGATCAGGAGGGCTTCGGGGTGAGCCGCTCCCACCCCGTGGGGACACAGCGATGACATGTGTGTGCGGCGGCCAGGCCTCCTGAGGCCACCGCCTGCGGTTATTTATACGGGAGGGAGGGGTGCTTTCCCCCTTTAAGATGCCTTTCTCCCATCAACACAAGTGAGAATTCTCGTGGCTCCATGCGCGGCCTTTCGTTTTCCAGCTTGCCTAAAAATAAAACGTGCTGAAGAAAAACACACGCACTGTTTCTATTTGCAACTTAAAAACACAAACCAAAATAAATAAATAAATAAAGTCAGATACATAAATCAGTGCTGTATCTACATATGAGCAACATAAAAATAAATAAGTAAACAAACAAACAAATAAATAAACTGTAATTATTAAAAAAAAAACACAAAAAAAACCCACACAAACCAACAGGGGGCAGAGATTGGCCGCCCGGGAGGGCCAGCTCCCTCCTGAGTCACAGTGGACAGGCCACCTGTTCTTGCCCCGGCCTCGAGCTCCGTCTGTGGGCGAGGCAGTTTCGGGGACGCCCTGTGGTCCCTGGAAAAGCAGACTGCGCCCCCTCCCTCCCAGCCCCTGTTTGATGGCCAGGATGCTGGCCGTAGGGCAGGTCCTGTTCTGAGATCCCACACAGGAGCGAGGTCCAGGAAAGTTGGCGGTAAAGACAGTAACGGGAAAGGGGACGTGGAAAGCCCTGAAGACTCCCGTTACTCGTGTGCATATTACGGCAGGAACGCGGACGACACCCCCGGGCAGCCTGACATCACCGCAAACACCCCCACGTGTGGAGCGCGCCTGGGAAGGCACACGGGAATTTCCTTAATTACTGTCAGCCGAAGCCAGTGGCGTCGGCAGAGCCACGTCCTGGAAACACGCTTTGCCCGGAGGCAGGCGTGTTGTCAGCCTGACCTTCAGCCCGGTGCCAGGGGGTGGGTTTTGTGAAAATCCAGCCAAGCACCAGGAACGAACACGACCCGGCGCACCCTAGCATGCACATAATCTCCTTTGTCTTGGCTTTTAGTAAAACTCCCTGTTTTTTGCCAAATAAAATGAACACACTGTATGGACTCCGAGTTACTGTTCCTGTCCCTGTCCCTGTCCCTGTCAGAGGACAGGGGTCCCACCTGGCCTCAGCTTTTTTCTTCTGTCTCTGTGTCTGTCTCTTTCCTTTTCTCAATCCCCAGCCATCCCTGCTCAGGAACGGATCGCTCTCTAGCCATGCTGGATGCAGAAAAGAGAGAAATATTTACATCCACGTCCTTTCAAAGGTCCACGCTCGCAGGAAAGGCGGCGATAAAATGTCCCCACCAGTCACAGCCTGAGGCACACAGGCCACGCTCACCCTGTCCCAGCGGGAGCCCCCGCTCAGCCTGTCTCCCCGAGTGTGGCGTGTTCTCCTGCGGGTGTGGGACAGGAGGGGGACACCCTGGCCCCGGGCCACCCCCCTCGCCCTCATGACAGCGAAGCCAGGCTGTTCCAGAGGGGCTGGTGCTCCAGCCTCAGTGGCCTCGAGGAGACCAGGAGACGGAGCCCGTTCCCCACTGCCCGGCCACGGCTGCCTCCTCGGCCAGTTCTGCTGAGCGACTCGCTCTGTGCGGGGCTGGGGGGGGCTCCCGGCCTCCCTGGGCCGTCCCGGGGGGTGCTGCCAGCCCGCTGGCTGAGAAGGCCAGGGGCGGGAATGTGGGGCTGTGTGCCCGCTCCATGGACAGGCCTCAGGGTACCCTCACATGGACAGCGCTCGTTATAACCACGTCCCCGGGGATGCAGTTCCAGCCCCTTTTTGTCCCGAAGTGTTTAT